ATGGTCACCTTTACCTGAAAGCAACCTTCTTAGCCGGTTAAAGCTAAGGCAGCACATTTGATTTATTTTTTCCTTTTCTTTTTCTTTTCTCATTTCTTTTGTTCTTTTGTTCTACGTCTTCTCCAATCTCGTTCATAATACTCCATAATACGCAGTCTAAACCCACACCTTTCTTTCTCATTTTCAGGGCACCACAGGATTTTTCAGTTTTCTTTAGACAATGTTTTATGACCAAAGAATCTATAAGACGATTTTCTAACCTGAAATGAATACAATTCATGAATATAGACACTGAATTCAGAAACCCAATCTTCATCGAATAAGAGAAAATAAAAATATCATTAACTAGAACACCATAACAAAAAGAAAAAGAAAAAGCTCTAAACAGCCGATCCAGAAGCTTGGGGCGAAGAGTAAAGGTTAGGCAGAGGCGAAGCCTTAAATAGGGATGGACTCGGTTCGGGCCTTGAACCGGCCGGGACTCGGTTCAAGGTATGGGAGGCCCGGAACCGGCCCAGGTGGCCCGAACAGGCCAACCAACCGGTTCACCGGGCCGGTCCGGGCCCGCACAGTAGCGGGCCGGTCCGGTTCCGGGCCGGTTGGCCCGATCCGAGTCCACCCCTAGCCTTAAAGGGGCGAAGTGTCACGCCCCGAACCTATCCGGACACGTCAACAACCCGTCGTACAATACGAATAGTCAACCGCAGTCTAACACATCCATATTATACAAGGCGTCTCGAATATCATTCACACATAAGTCATCCATAAACATACATAATAAACAATTGAATACGCAGCGGAAAACATAGTTTGAAAACAAATGTCACACGAGGCAAACATGATTACGCAGGCTCTATAGTGAAAAATATCCATGAGCATGTTTATAATGTTCAAAAACAGAATGGAGGAAGCACGAACCAAGTCTTCACCCCAAAATGATCACCCAAGCAACGAGCACAAGAAGCAAGCTCTAGCCTCAATCTGAAATGGTGGTGGGACGCCCCCCGAAAGGGGGGTCAGTACTCTATACGGCTGGCTATAAAGTACTGGTGTGGATGACATCTAATAGATATACAACAAGTATTTCAAACACAAGACCCTCAAATAGGGTGATAATATAATCTAGGCCGTAACCCCAAGTTACGCTTTTTCAAAATATACTTACTTTATATATAAAGTCAAGCACTCGGCCCGTAGGCCCAAGGTCTGTTTACAAAACATCAACCCAATACCCCGTGACTACTAGTCATGACAATTCATAGGGTCCAACCCTAACACATATGTTTGCATTTCTAGAGTCCAACTCAAGTACATCACCATGCAAATCATATGACCCAAGTTAATTACTCCACCGTGCATTTCTAGAGTCCAACTCAAGTACATCACCATGCACATCATAGGCTACAACCTCAAATCTCCCATGCATTTCTAGAGTCCAACTCAAATACATCACCATGCATGTCATCAATTACAACCCCTTGCCTACCCATGCACTTCTAGAGTCCAACTCAAGTACATCACTGTGCCATGTCATAGACTCAATTTCTAAGCAAACCTATGCCTAGAATTGAGATATCAACAATCTATTTTGGGACATCCTTACGGACTGCCCATAACATGATCTTAGCTTCATCCTAAATCAATTAAGTCACTTGAATCACATTCAAGCACATAACTTACAATCAAATTCTTAGATTCAATTCCTTGACAATTACAAACAATCATTAACTAGTAATTCAATACTATTAAGATTATTCTTATAAATCAAATATTCTACTTGTAAGTCCCTTCTTATTTAGAGATATGTAGCAGCAACTTAAGCATCCAATGTAATACATAAATATTCATTTATGTATCTACACAATTCACACATGAGTAAAAATGCCTATTTTACATAATAGTTCATTCAACTCCATTTTTATCAATATGATTCCAAATCATTTCCAATTCCATTCCTTATCAAATATATCAATATTTCATCAATAATCAATCATCATAATCCATGAAAAACATGATTTATACATTTAGGTAATCTCATGCTTAACCTACGAGTTGTAAGCAACTAGATGTCGATCCTCACCTCAAATGAGCTTTAAACCTTTTCTTCTCGATCCAATGCTCAAAGATTCGGCCAAGGAAGTTTGAGAACTGTTTCCTTGCTTAGAAATGATTGTTAGACAGCCTCCTCAAGGTGCTAGCTAACCTCCTAACCGATGATACGAAAACAGTCCCTAGAATGGGTGTTTTCCGGCGAAATCGCTTCTTAACTTTTCAAGGTTTGTTCTAGGTTAGCGTCTAACATCTACTTAAATATAACAAACTTATAAGGAACATATTATACACTTTAATTAGTGTATAATAGATCCACTAATCGTTCATATCATTTAGATAATGAAAAGGAAGATTTTTGGGTTCAAACTTACTATGAATGCAAAAACGTATCCAGCGAGGTATCGTTTTCCTTCTATTATTTGGAGGCCTTAAACTGCTCCGTTTTCTTCAAACCGCACGTCTATGTATTCCTTATCTTGAGAGATTTCAGTAGACATCTCACACGCTTTTTTTGGATGAGTGTAGCTCTATATATGAATCAAACAAGAAACCCTACGCACTGGAAAAATAACCCGCAGGCAGTTTCTTTCTTCCTTCCTCTCTTGAGTTGTGTGGCTCCTTTTTCTCTCTTATCCTTGGGAGTTCGTATGGGGTTTTGTGGGAGTGTATAAGAGTCCTCAATCATGTTATCAAAGCATGTGGCTTACAAGAGAGCATGGGAGATATTTGGTTTGCAATCAAATATGAGGTGGACCTCAATCTTTATTTCTTTTTTTATTGTTTGAGCTCTCAACTCAATAGGTCCGCCCATTTATGTGTTCTAACTTATTCTCCTTGTTTTTCAGGTACTCAATCCATGTGGGATGGTTCCCAATTGATCCCAATCAATTTGGAGTCCAAAATATCCACTAATACTTTCAAAGATGGAAAGATGGATCCTATAGTTTTATCTTTGTCATGAGATGTCTTTTTGTACTCATTCTAATTTATTTAGATCAAGTCAACCTTCTACATCATATTATTGATCTCTAATATGTGTAGGATGGTCCCAATAATTTATATGATGTATAATTATAAAAGAAAACCCTACTCCCATTATTTAGCTTAATAATGCCAAAGATGTGACCATAGGAGTTTGTATTCTTTTCTAATCATCCCATTACTTACTTATGACTTTTGTACCCATATTCTTGGGCTACAAGCCGTGAGGACCATCCTCGAGTGGGTCTAGGACGCCATTCCTGAATAATTACTTTTTTTAGCAAGTTAGACCCAAAATAACATATGGACTGCCCGACCGTTCTTACTTTGTATCGAAGGGTTATATATCTTTGTTTATATATTGTTGCCCCCCATATCCAATAAGATGGCCCAATTAAGTATTTGGAAGTCCATTACTATTATACGAGCTCAAACGGCAGTATGATCAATCATGCATTGCGTAACACATTACTCGTTTTACAATGGTTCGGAAACAGGGAAATTCAATACACAAACATTGAAATTTAATTTAAATTTCAAGGACGTTCGAGTGCGGTGTCACACGAAGTATGTACATACATATACTATGTATTATATATATTATATATACTCCCTCCGTCTCAAAATGAACTTCACAATCACTATTCACATGGTCAACTTAAATTACTCTTATCAAATTTATATTTTTTTATTAGCATTTGTAGCAGTTTTAATGTAATTTCTCAATATGTAAATTTTATTTACTAAAAGTAATCTGAGTATGAACAGAGATCGAGTTGCTTTATCGTCGGTCAAGCATCGTAATCTGAAATGGGAAGTTAATTTTGAGACGGAGGTAGTATATATATACAATTCGTATATGTATTATGTATAGATATAAATTAATCGACAGCCTTACTTCGCTGTGGGTTGACCAGGAGCTGAGGAGGTAGACACGTTTGTTGGTGGGGATGAAAAAAACGAATTAAAAGAAAAACAGGGGTCGGAAAATTTAGAGAAGAAAAGAAAAAAAATGAAAAGACAAGAAACAAGAAATTTAGAGGTTGGGTTTGGGAAATGGGAATGCGAGAGTGACGTAAGGAAATCAAAAAAGAAAATAGGAAATAAAGAATAACCTTCTACGAGTATTATAGGTCACTTTAAGGTAATTTGCCTCAATTGATTGAATTTGAAAAGTAAATGAATTTCTATGATGATTACGGTAGATGGACTTGTGTGATGATTCAGGATAGTTGAATGGTCTATTAATCCCAAAATAGAATGACTAGTTCCATTTTCCATATACACATTTTGTCACCATCAATATTTATGTCTGAAAGTAAGAGTTAGAAGTGATTTAGAAAGTAAGAATTAGGAGTGGGCACGGTTGGTTAACCATATTTTGGTTAACCAACTTTTGGTTAACTGAGATATCGGTTAGTATGTTTATAATATCATTAACCGTACCGTAAATACAGTTATCTGGGTATCTGGGTAACAGTTAACCATAATATAGTTTCACCATTAATTCATTAATTGATTAACCAAAAATTCCATTTTAGAAACCAGTGCCAACTGCCAACTAAGGTTAGAATATAAATTATAAAATTAAATCACTGTGTTTAGTAAAATGTGGGCTGTAAATAAAATTTCTCTAAAGGTTTAGCGATTGAAGCCCCAAAAGACCAAAAGTTATCTAAATGAAAATCAGTCACCCGTTTCTTCTCGTCTATTGGTCCAAGCATAATATGGACGCTATGTTTGGATCCCGTTAAATATTAAGAGAATTAAAAAAAATGCTAAAAGTGAATTTTAACAAATGTTAAACATTTATTTTGCCAAATTTTTCCAACAATTGCCTCAAATATTGTTTTTCCATAGCAATTCCGAAGTTGAAACACACCCTAAACAATTGCAGCTTAAAAAAAGACCTGAACCAAAACTGACAATTTAAACATGGATGACATTTGACAAGATTTGATGTCCTTGCAAAACTTCAGAGCAATCTTTAGCATAGAGAAGATCCTTTAAGTTAAAATGGATAGCATAGAGCAATCTTTAACATCTCACATGGGCTATAGGACTAGCAAGAAAAAATGGATTTTGTAGAGAAGTATAGGGATCATTTCTTTTCCAAATATAGACAAAATTGATGGCAGAATACATCATATCTTACAGTATATCAAATTTTATTTTAGTTTTTTTAATGAACCTTTGTGATCCATCTGCTTTCTTCCCAATCGTTGGCAAGAAGATGATATATTAATGTTCTACTTGCATTGCTGTTGACTAAATATCTCAGACATAACTAATTTTCCTATGAGTCGGCGAAGCCTCTTGGCACCTGGACCTGGTTTAAGTTTGACAGGATCACCAAGCTCAGAACAAGGAGGATTGCCAGCACACCAGCCACCAGGGGTAAAATTGCCACTATTTCTGCCTAACAATTTCTTGTCTATCTTATCTAAAACAGGACCACCTTGGTTGAACTTGCGTGCGAAGGGGGCATCACTTTTAATCATTTTCCGGGTATCATTTAAGTTAAGGACGTGAGGATGCTGTTTTGGAGGAACATCCCAAGAAATATAGTGCATGTCATGGTTGACCACAGTTGGTATAAACTCAGGGGCATTGCACACAACAGTTTGGAAGTATCCTTCAGGAGAAGAAACAAAATTTGTGTAGTACATAAGTAGAGTTCTAGGAAGATTATCCCAACCCTCTACACAGTAATCAACAAATGCACGTGAGAGGATCATCCATGCAGAACCTGCAGATTGTTAATTTTACCATTATTTCGTGATCATAAAAGAAGGAAACCAACCAAGAGTTAGCACCTTATCAGAAGTTTATCTGTTTGATGCAGAGCAGTAAGTTATCCTAAAATACTCGAAGCTAAAACATTATTTCAAGAAGTTTGTTAAATTAGTAATATAGTTATCACAGTTTAAGCAGAATAATAGTTTTAGTAAATACTTCGTATATAGTTATCATAGTTCTAGTTGTATTATTGTTTCCTATTCCCAAAAGGTTTCCTATTCTACGATCCTAGTTCTCATTATTTCTCTATATATGCATCGTAATAGTCTCTAGAAATGATGAACTTGTAAGTTCATAGTGATTATATCTATAAAAGTAGTACTGTAGTTTATAACTCAAAAAAGTTAAAGTCCCACGCACGGCCACAAAGTAATTGGATTCTCACAAGCTCAACTCAATAACACCAATCAGATGGTATATATGGAAATGGACCAACAAAGCGAAGTTATAAAGCCAAGTGATCCTGAGACAGATAATAGGCTCTACTAAGTAGTAGCATAGATGTGACAAAATGAATGTAACTACCAGGTAGTTGCAAATGGACTCTTGTCCCCTAAAGATCTAGATATGCACTTCACTGCTCATATATTAATGAAACTACTCAAACTAGTCAATCAACGTTCAAGAGTTACATGACCCTAATGAATTAATTTCCATCTGAAGGTATGTGCATTGAATGCACACTTGCAAAGCAGACAACAGTGAATTTGGATATCTAAATAGCACAAATCAGCAGACAACTTCTACGTTTGTTAACATAGTTAATGTAGGATAATGTTCACCAGTAAATAGTTTAAAGGATGTAGGTAAAGCTCTCCCAGGTTTGACCCAAAATATGTCAGACTTGGTATCCTTATAGAGCCCAGGGTCTACGATCAAAGGCATAGCTCTTTGCCCCCTGCAATAGAGTCAAATACAATGACAATACTAAGACCAAATCTTTTGACACCTGATCTATATAGCCACCCACAAATAGTAAAAGAGACAGATAACATACTCTTTCCAGCCTAACCGGCTTGTGTGCTCAATGAAATTTAACTCTCGCTTGAGAGAGGAGAAAGTGGAAAGAAGATCTGTCAGAACAAGAACACAACACATCAAACACATGAACACATAAAAGAGAGCCAGCAAAATGAGATTTAGAAGTAAAGGGGTACTTTTTAAAACTTTATTACTACATTTAATGTTTGCAAATATAGTGAAGTGAAAACAATAAGCTAATACACGATTTAACTAATTAAATAGTTATCTCTAGCCTAAAATGAACAGATAGAGACAAACTATAAAAATGAAAACCAATCCTCCCCTCCCCTTCCCTCTGAAATCCCCGAACCAGACAAGACTTGAGATTGCAGAACAAGAAATGAACTAACCGTCTTGAGTTACGAGGGGATAATCTGAAGCACTAAGATTTATAAACCAATCCCAATCCTGATGCTTCTTGAGGAGGATGGCACATGCATGAAGAGTATTAGCAACCATGGTCGGCCCTCGATAAGTAACCATATTAGCTCTGGTAATCATGTGGACATTCCCAGCTTGAATAAAAAAGGGTTCTGTTTCTACTCTGTAGGCAAGCTCCAATCTCTCCTCCACAGACGACTCTCGGTCAAGATGGACAACATAGTAATTACGTGGATGATACAATGCTTGCAATGTTCTCCAAAGCATTTCTAAATCGCCTTTCGAACCTGATACCAGATAAGCAAAGCGTGGAACGGAAGGACCAGACGAAGGTACAGATTGTTTAACTTTTGTTTCGGCATAGTCAGGGCTTGTTTGGTTTATTGAAACGTTGTATGTAGAATTTGAAGATATGAGACCCATATTGAAGCATGTGGCAAGAAGGAATACAGACACGAGTGCACTGATAACAAAAGGAAACACCCACTTCTTCTCCATGTTCAGGTACCCCATTGCAAAAACAATAACATGTGCACTTACATAAAAATGTCAGATTGAAATAGGTCCTCTTCTCATCTATTGAAGAATCACACAAACCAAAGGCCCTCAAAAGGAACCCTAATCACCAGATGTACTCGAAAAATATGCATCTCCTGTTCAAATAAAATCCCAGGTATATGTATTATCCTAAAATAGCCCCTGAATCGAAATGCCACGTACCAAACTAAGTCTCAACATATAAGGAAACAATTCTTGGTTAAGAAAGACACAACAGATTCTCATGTCCACATTTGCTCCAAATATATAAGCACCTGACCCTGAAAACAATACCATTTCACAGATTAGAGAAAATAAACAGATAATGTCAGGATTATATTCAAGGTAAAGAATACAGGAATTGACGCAGAGAAATAAGATCATACGCAGAAGATCATCTGGCGGTATGTGGGAAGCTATGGGTTTTCTGTGGGGTGGAATAAAAATTGGCGAATTGCAGTATTATATCGGTGGGTAGAGGGAAGGGAGTTGGGTTGTTCAAAGAAAATGACACCAAAGGATGAGCATGGGTCAAGAACGAATTGGCTCTGATTGAACCGAAACGATTTGAATCAGAATTTTCAAAGTTATAGGACCGAAGACCTCGTCTATATAATTCCGGTCTAAGAAAGGACTTAATTACTCCGTTCCTATTAAAGTTCTCACTTTCTTTTTTGGGATGTCCCTTATTTAAGTTCACACTTCCATTGTAGGAAATAAAACAGTGCCAAACAGTATCCAAACAGTGCCAAACAGCGTCCAAACAGTGTCAAACAGTGTCAAACAGTGCACTTCACAGTAAAGTCAAATTTATTTTCTTAATCTGTGTGAAGTAAAACTGAGAACTTTAATAGGAACCGGAGGGAGTACTTTGGGTAGGATTGAATCGAATGTGAATTTTTAATTAAAAATATCTTTTCTTTTTAAAAAATAGACTTTGCTAGCTATGAATTGTTGTAAACGTAACTTTTTTCTGTTATAAATATTTAAATAAAATTAAATCTAAGTTAAATGTTTCTTTGAAAGGAAATTTAATTTAAATGTTAATATTTTTTGCTAATACTTTTTAGATAAAAACATATTAAAAATTATAATAGTTACTTAATTAGTAATTACTATGCAATCGATCTAGCCTAAATGTTTTGAGCTTAGACCAGACCGTATTTGAAATCAGAAACTTCAAATATCTTGGACCAAAGACCAGATAAGTATGTGACTAGCAGGGCCCAGTTTGAGTATTATACTCACAAATCAACACAACACGTCTTACCCATTCCAAAGACTACTTTCATGTAAACAAGCTTACCCATCTCTTGTTGTTATGAGTAATATTTTTAATCTTTTTGAGATCACTCTGAGTATTACAATCTCTGTCCATTTTTTCAGAGCAGACCAGAATGTGCTCACCCATAAACATGACGAGAGATATAAATGTGGCGGATTTGGGATTAAGACATTGATAGCCTGTTGGCGGTGGAAACTCCGAGATGAACTCAGGGCTGGTCCGGTCTATTTTCGGGCCTATGGTCGAGATAATATTTTCGGCTGATATTCAAGACAAATAATAAACTATCTTTATTTAAAATTATCTAATACAAGTCATTGAATTAAAACAAACTCATTTTATTATTATTATTATTATTTAAATTACATATTTAGTGAAAAGATACAACACAAATATATCACATTAAAAGAAAAATGTTACTTAAAAATCAGAACATTGTGAAACAAAATCATCAATAATTACTTCATAATCAACTTTTTCAAATATTTCATGCTCAATGCTTAAAATTGCTAACTCTTTAAGCCTTTCTTGAGATATAGTCGATCACGAATAATTCATCAGAACCTTGAACTTTGAAAAACATTACTTAAAAGCATTTCTCAGGGAAGTTTCAAGATTCAATTTCTTAACAAAAGCAAAAGTTTCCATTAATCCCTTCTAACTTAAACCCGTCTTTTCTAATCTTCTTCTCTTTCTCTTTTTATCCTAACCTGATTCACAAATTTTATCAAGAATAATTTATTGATCACTGCTGGATTGTTTGAAGCCTTGAAAGAATAAGTTTTTTGGTCACCGACTGCTGTTTGGGCTTCTCGATTGATTGACTTCAATTCTTAACAAACCGTTGAGGTACTCACCACTTTGCAACGTTCTATACTTTTGTTGATTTTGGAATTCGGAAACAACAAATCAATTTGGATGGGCTTTACGAGTTGGGAGTTTTGGACTTGGGAGGCTTAACATAACTTGATAATTTTGCAATTAAAGGATAATAAAACCTAGAGATCTGAAGAGAATTAAGAGAGGCGTGCATCTTACATTTATTTTAAAAATTAAACCTTGAGCCAATTAGTTGAGCAAAAATTAAAAAAAGAAGCATACTCATACAACATACAAAGAAATATTTTTGGGCCTATTTTTTCCCCTATTTTCTTGGGCCTAGGACGGTCGCCCCTGTTGCACCCCCTAGGACCGCCCCTGGATGAACCATGGGGATCTAAACATTTTATGGTGTAGGGATATTGTGATTGAGGGTCGCGGTAGGCTCAAAATATAGCGTACAACCGGCTGTACTGTGCGCACGGTACTGTCGGCCTTTTTTTGGTTTTGCGCTTCTTCCCTTCGCACCCTTCGGAAGTCCGCACATCGGCCTCCGAAATTTCCAGCAAGGCTCAAGAGTCCTCCAGACTTGCTCGTTACAAGAAGAAGCAAACGATCATCGCCATGAAGATCCAGACAACTATGAGACTTGTTGTTCCTGGTGATTTGGCCAGAAATACTTCCAAACGATCACCGCTCAATTACTGTCGCCACACCGCTTCATCCGGTGACCACCGCCTAGCCCCCAACCCCTATCCCAGCTCCCCTATACCTAGCCCCCCTGCTCCCCTGCCTCGCCTCATCCCCTTCTTGGCCTGCCCAAAAGCCTACCCATTCTACCACCGCCGCAACCCCTCGCTGCATCCTACCAGCCGCCGCGGCCCTAAATCGGGTCGTCGTCCATCAACGACGGCAGATCTAGCGCCAATAGTGCTCCATCGAGGCCCTAAAGCCCGAGTCGTCGTCGCTGGCGCACAGAAAACCCTAGCCGCCAGATCTATGCCAAATCTCTATCAACGAATCAGCCGCCATCCTAATCGTACAAGTACAAAGAGAAGAAGAGTGTTCGGTAATCGCACGAACGAGGAAGAGGATGGCATAGAATACAGAGACGCTGACAGGGAGACCAACAACGCCGACTAGGGAGATGGCGAGGGAGAAGGTGGCAGAGACGGCGGCGATCTTCCTCCAAAGGTGGATGTCGCCGGTGGTGAAGCAGAGAGGGGCAGCTCGCGTTGGTCCTTCGACGGTGTTGCGTTGATTTAAGAAATGGGGAGATAGTCGAAACAGAAATTTGACGGTAAGCAATTTTGACGCAGCGGAAATTGGGGGCTAGGTCATATTTTTGGAAATTTCAAAAATGGTCATATTTGTGTCCATGTAAACCTTCTAGATAATATTTTTGCCATTATTTCCATTATTCAATTGAACTATTGTTTGTTCGAATAGATTCACATAAATAATATTTTGAGGGGCATGCAAAATGTTAATAAGAGTAAATACAGAATCAAGAGAAACAATATTGGTGAAATCAGTGCCAGATATTGGAATGTGACCAGGTTTCCCATGACTATAGACCTATTGCCAACATAGTGAGAATGAATGGAATCATTAAGATCTAAAGTCACATAATGTGTGACATTTGTAACTAGAAGCCATCATTAGACATGTGTTTATTATACTTGTCTGTAGTAAGATTTTCTAGCCCCCAAATTGAATGTCATATACTTCTTATAAGTTTTATATCATATACTTCTTATAAGTTTTAGTTTTCGACCCTCACATTGGATGTTTATAAATACGAAATTTGTGGTTTAAAAGAAAAAAATGAGTCTAATTGTTCAATTTCGATTCTTGTACAAACTAACTAGAATTAAATTGCCTAGACACCGGTTTGGATTTTGAGCTTTAACTTGAGTTCACTATTTGAATATAACAAGAGGTGAATCCAGGTCATATATCCCCGTCAAAATTGCCCGATTTTTTTTGTATAAATGAAAAAGAAATAAAAGTAACCATAAATATACCACAAAGCTATCTAGGGGGACAAATGAATAAGCATGTAAGACATTTCACATCACAATAGTTGAAATTGATCTTTAACAAAGTATGAAGTACTATATAAAATGGAGTGAAATAACATATTTCTATATACGACACCATCATTTTTAAGAAAAAAAGTTATTAATCTATACTACATATGTCTCAAACAGTTTTACAAAATCAACAATTTTTTGTCAATTGATAATAAAGTTCAATCCACCATATTGATAATTAATTCAGTTTTAATAATTAATATTTACATATTCAAAATCTGCATTATATTAAAATATTTGTAAAGTTGCAAAATCTAATTTGACATTTAATTAAGAATTGATCCTAATTATGTGAATATGTTTGATCCAAAAAAGTCAATTTTACAACTCAACTTGGAACGTTAAGAGTATTTTATAAGGCCGCATCACATACAATGGATTATATAAATGTTGCAATAACATCAAAACAAGGGCCCAACGTATTTGAACTAATATTCACTTTTTTTTTATTCCGGAAGGTCAACCACCAAAATCAGGGGGTTAAATGTCGGGAGTCATTTACCGATATTTTATTGAGAAATGAAAAAGAGTACAAAGGAGAGGAGAACCAAACCAAAGCCTCTCAGCAAGAAGTATAAAAAGGTTGGGAAACCAACACAAAAATCAGCCAATTCGAAGAGAGGGGAGTCCAAAGAGATCCATATAATAAGAGTTCCGAGCCTGGGCTGGTAGATCCTGCACTCGATTATAATAATTCCATTGGGTCACATCCTGATGGGCCAGAAAGTGAGCGACCCAAATAGCCTACCGCCATACGCTAGAATAGGAAACACCGCCGATTCCAGAAAAAGCCAACAACCTATCTACCTTGCAACACCATCTACCTGAACCGTCATCATTCATGTAATCCAGCACCGTGGTAGAATCGATTTCAACCTGGAAGTTGGAAAAACCTTCGCTAATCACCCATTCCGTAGCCAAGAGCATCGAAAGCAGTTCCGCTTCAAGAGGAGATGAGCCCTGAATCGGAAAAGTTGCTGCCAGAAGGAAACGACCGTCCATATCCCTCTGGATTGCTCCGTCTGCTGCAGATAGAGGTGAGAAACTTGCATCGGAATTCAGTTTGTAGTGTTTGGTAGGCTTCTTCCATTTCACATAAAGAATCCTAGGCCGGTTCAATTTAAACGTTTTAGGTACAAGGTTTTCCTCGTATAAAAAACCACCAAGCGAATGAAATTTGACCGTAGGAAAACTTGATACCTAAATCTGAGAAAAAACTTTGATGCGATGAATGAGGGAGACATGGCTAGGAAATTGACTACTAGATCCCCAAATGACCTCTGCATAAGCCTTCCAAATAAACCAGGATATAATTCCAGGTAAGCAATGTTTAAAAACATCCTCAAGTTTCTTGGAACCAGCTTTCAACCAC